ATGTTGGCTACGTTCGTACTTGCATGACTCTGGAGAACCGGAGAGTCCGCGGAAAGTATACGTATCGATCTGGCGAATTGGAGAATAGGAGTATCGGCGGGGCGGATAATGCGCGAAACTGTTAGGTCCTCCGATTCGGAGTTGGAGTAGAATGATAGATCAATCGATAGGTATCTAATTTTTTCTCGCGCAGCATCCAATTCGCCCGTGTCGTAAAATTTAAATGTCCGCACTGTGGGGACGCGACGCAGGTGCCGTCACGTGCACTTCGCAGTAGGACCTAAATATGTGAATTGTGAATATGTGAATTGAAAGTACTGTAGTGTATCGAGCCATTTAGCTAGTACAGCAGCGTGCTTGTAGTGTCCCTTATGTTGTCTAGAAATCTCGCTCTGAAATCCTCGCAGTGACGTCTAGTGAAAAACATACTTGAAATTTCAGGAATTCCTTCAGGACTTTGCAGAGGGATTCGGTAGGAATTGTGTACATGAAGATATGTCAAAGAGAACATTTATTTCAAAATGGAATCCCTACCCGAAACCAGCGCCTATACCAGCCAGAAGTCGTGGTCGCTCTCGTCATGAGGATTTGCATCCCGAAAAACGAAAAGGTACGGCCTGGGATACGGTTGAGAATTTGCTATTTGTTTCTTCCTAAAGTCCTTGTCTAATTGTTGAACTTTTGCAGAAGGAAATGGAGACGGTGGAATCCGTTGGTATGGAGATCCTTCACAGACGAAAGTACCTCCTCGAATCACCAGTGGGAGAATGACCCAAAGGGTTGGGTTGTTCCGAAATGCTAAGCAATCGCAAATCGTTGTCAACGAGATTTCCTCCGTTGTCAGGAAAGCGGTGAGTTTGAAGTTTTTAATGTTTTCGTTTTTAATGTTCAAACGCTGGGCAATAGACCTAGAGACTGTGTGGAGAGATGCCCCCCTCCCGTTTCATTTGCACCCATTTAACGAGCTTAATTATAATTACATTTTTGCCTGGTACAGTTCTTTTGCAAAGGGAAAATAAATCGTTGGATTCATTCTGCTGTTGTGCTTCAGCTCGTATTCCGGTAAATAGGTCGAGATAGGCCCGTTCTTATCTTGCCGCCCTTGGTGAATCTACGAAAGGGATACGAGTGCGTTCATACTTCGGCACTAGATCGCTGCGATCCGATCGCTTGGTCCAAGCGATATCGCAAAGCATGAACGCATTATAAGGTCTGTATAAAGTGGTCTCCGCGTCAAGCTATAAGCACCTTATCACTTCGTGAATCCTCGAATTTTCCAACGTCATAGGCGGCATAGACTGTAGACGAGCGTCGGCTGATGTTCGGGTATATAAACTATTCGCTTCACTATCCCCTATGCGCCTTCACCTCGTGCTATTTCTTGAGAAGTGTTATTCTATCCTCCTATATTGTCGTCATTCTTGGGAGCACTGTGCTTTTTTAAAAACATTCTACTAGAGTAAAAAATAGCTCTCTTGTCAAGTCCCTGTTATATGGTTTGAATCTAATTAATTAGTGAATTTTAGTCGAACAAACAAATCGGACGCCTCGTTGCTCCTGATAAAGATATTTCTCGTTCAACTGGCAGTAGTGTGGATGAGCTATTCCCACAAGAGCATGTTACTACACATGAAGCCGAATGGTGTCTAATTTTCTATTTGTACTATATTTTAATTGCAGGTGTTGGCCTAGAGCTCGTTTAATGCTATAACTCGTTGCAGCGCGTCGACGCAAAGTCTGAAGGCTGCTTTGATGGTTCCTGCCGCATCCAGGGAAATAGTGGGTTCCATATTGAGTGGGATATCATTCATTACGATTGATCCGTCACTCCAGATGGCTGTAGAAACGGATCCTAGTGAGATGATTGTGTCCGACTATACATTTACCGGAATGACATCCCGGCCACCCCCCCCCTCCCCCCCGACGATTGTCTTGCACGTCGCCTCTGACAGTGCTGCCTAGTCGTCTGCCTCCTTTTGCGCACTGTATTGACGATCCGTTCGTGTTGCTTCCGGCTGAAACCGGCAGAAGTCCAGACACCCAGTTGCCGCATACTCGCAGCCAGGTCCGTAGACACGTTTGCCGTGATCTAACTTTTGAACGTGCAGTCTCGTGCAGTTGCTCATTTGCACATTGTTGTGCTCTCCGTAACATTCTCGTAATAAAGAAATTTTTAAGCAGTGATCTCAACACTGACATGCGGTACGACGGCTTGGGTAAGAGGAAAGAAAGAGAGGAGTTCCCTTATAGGCTAAGATACGACCAAGGTGACTTTTTGATGTTCCCATTTGGAAATCCTGCTTTTCTGAATACTGAATACAACCAGATTACGGCTCTGAAGGAGGTAGTATGCTAACAACGGAGAGAAATCCGACTAAGTCCCGAGCAGAAATTGCTAGGATTCATAACGATCTTATTCTCCGACGTTCTCCAGAAACATCCTAAATGGAGGTATGTTTCCAGTTCTGAATGTAAAATAAACTTTCTGAAAAACGGATATCGTCTGCAGAGCTCGTGTGGAAGATGGTGACAGCGGTCTTGACGATCTGTCATATGAGGCTGCAAGGCCTTCGTCGATGCGCGATGTAATTTTTCCCCTTTTTTAGATTTATTTTCGGCGCTCTTCAGCATAGGGGAGGGGGTAGGGTGCAGGATGGAGGGGGAAGAAGGCGTCCAAGATTTTACAGGTCTCGCAGGGTAGCCTATACAATCTTGGATGAGTATCGCTCGATCGTTCAATGCCCCCTCCAAACGGAAGCGCGCTTATTTTCACCTTTTAAGGATTAATTGCTACAGTCAAGAACATTCCAGACGTGCAGAAATCCCGTTTCTAAGATAGCAGCCTTACGGAAAGGTAGTATGCAGACTCCTTCGCGTGGTTCCTCTCGGAATGAGGCTGTTTCATTGGGGTGAGCTTTTGAGAGGAGCTTTCCCGATTACTTTTTCAATCCTTCTTTCTTTTGAAGGAATCCCGCAAATGGGCCTTCTATGTCTGACGTTGCCGCGCGTGTGCTGTCAGCTTTACCGCCTATTTACCTCCGAGACGATCACCACGAGAAGTACGATAGCTCGTCGATTACTTGCAGACATTATCAAAACAGTGCAATCTATGCACGGTCCACTTCTAATGATTTTTTGCAATTATACCCTTTGTTCTGGAAAGTGCGGTGACAATCAGCTAAAAGGCCTTATATTTGTTCGATGTTGCTGTCCCGCCCACTACATCAGTACCCATACGTACCCACGCAATACGCCACTGGCTTTCTGTCCCTCTCGTAGAAAGCGTTCTTGTATTATGTGGAGGTCATGAGTCTGGTTAACGCTTTTCCGAAAGATAAATGTGAAACCAAACTCTAACACTGTCTCACTGAAAGGTCACAGAGAATCAGCTTGTATGACGTGGCCGTGTGGCGTAAGGCGTGGTCATATGGCTTGTTGAATATAGGATCGAAACTAGTACGTTAAGCAGTCAAGTGTTGCCGGAAGAGAAGCGCCTCGAGTGACATCTTGTTGTCAACCCTATTTGAGTGGCGAAAGTGACCTATATTTACGACTGCGAACCTACTAGAGCAGCATTTGGACTTAGCGATGACGCGCGCGCTACCGCAATGCTGTAGAAGCGAGACTGACATCGATGAGCGCTGATCGTATGCGTCTTGAGAGAGTACAGGACAACAGGAGAGTAGGCGCTGCCTTCACTTAACCTTGTACTCTCCTACTTCTCTGTGGTCTCCCAAGAGCAGTAGCGGCCAGTGCCGATTGAAACCAGACTGGGTGAAGGCAACGCATACCCTCCTGCCCCATAATCAAACGCTAGCAGCCGGCGGCGATCGATTCCCTTCCACGGCTCCAGTCTTGTCCTAGCATTGGAGCACTGATTGTAGCGCGTGGACGCGCGTTATCGCGAATTCTGAACGCTGCCTACCATTTTCATGGAAAACACCTTGTCACTCATGTAACCGTTCAGGGTGTCTCAAAATCATTAATCCGGGGATTTTTCAGATTTTCCGTTCATTCCTGAATCGCACAGCTGGAATGATAGCTGAAGAGAATCCTACTCAACCCGAGGATGATGGTTGTGAGGACATATTCCAGGAGCAGTGAGTAAAAGGATCCCTTTTTGGGAGTTCGTCTGTAAATTGGGTTTGGTTACAGCCCCCTCAACCTCGGTGCTTCTCCAACCGGACCTTCTGCCACACCGGTACTCGAAAAGTTGTTCAATCAGACCGTGGCTGAGTGGAACGCCGACAACAGTTTAGATTCTCCGTTACGCACTGGAGTGAATGCTACACGGGTGAGAAAAAATATTCGTAAAGAGTTGTTACTGATCTTATTTCACCGTAAATGTAGCCCAATTTAAGGCTTCATCTATGATGACGCCATCGTCCATAAGTTCGATTCAATTGGATGCACAG